TCAACACTTGGCTCTTGGAAAATTCTCCTTCTGTTCTGCTATGCTTGTATTACCTTCTAGAAAACGGTACGATGTATTTCAGGCTCTACAAACTGGTTCTGAACCCCAACTGCTTGAGCGACGAAGGCTTCTGGACGGTTCCCGATATGTCTTCGTACTGGGGACGAATCATCGACTGTGATGAAACGGACACGTACTGCGATTCACGTGCCGACGAAATTTCTGACTGCGATCGGCTGTTCACCTACCACGTCTTCTGGCGTAATGGAGTGGATCGCTACGAGTAAACAACTGATACGCTGCTTTACGTGTCATTACGGATGATAAACGACTACCTTGACGAATTTCGCGTGCGTGCTGCGAATAACTAAAGTATTTGAAACTTCGTATAAAAATGTATTAGTCGAAGCTTGAGGTTACTGTAAAGTTTGCTTAGGACTACTGCCACTGATTGAGCCCTAGATTGGAAAGAGCCACTGAAGCAGCTCCATTCGAACGAACTGAATTGCAAGCGAAGGAGTTTTTCCTGAAATGATCACAGTCAGGGGAGGGTGGTAATTCAGATATTGAAAAGCCAAATAAGGTGCCGAATGTATTTTCTGAGAAGGGTTGAAGTCTGCAATGGGATGCCACTCCGCTGCATGCTCCGATTATTTCTTGCGATGAATTTTGCCTATTTACGGTAATGCTACGATTGATGCCTAACGGAAAAAAAAACTTGGAACAAGCCACAAAATCGCGTTTCACACATTTCTGAAGCCCTTATTCAACAGCAAACAGTGGAAAGGTAAGCAGATAGCGAGAAGTGAACATGAAAAAACTATTAAGCGCTCTGAATTTAGTTTGCTTACTACTGATCGTGACAAGAACCTTCATCAATAGCGGAGTCGAATTCACATGAGCCTCACGGATATGTCTGTCTCCTCAAAATGCATGGAACTGCTTGCTTGTGTTGGTGGTCTTCTCTTTGACCCATGCCTCAAGTCTTCTCAGGGATGCTGGATGGAATTGACGTGAAGACCTTCACTCGGTCATTCTGTCATCCGGATGCTGACCTTGGAGCAGGAATATAGATCTCACCTACTTTTCTGTTTGCTTGGAGTCATGTTTACTGATTCTGAAAACAGTTCTTCCAAGCACAGTTTATCTATATCCACAACATTTCGGTACACAAGTCAAGGAAAATCAAAAAATGATTTGATAGAGAATTCCAATTTCTTTGACTTGTTCCACTTCTATCCGGCAGCTGTATATGAGCGACTCTGTAACGTTTACGTTGCCCTTGCCAGGTAAATTAATGTATGTTATTCGCTGCCATCTGGGAGCGCCACCCTGACGACCTCTCTGATTTGAGTTCTCAAGTCACTTGTTTGACGAGCTCCCTCACCCTCTTCCCAAGCTTGAGAAAATATGCTCGAAACTGGGTCATTACTTGATGGATCATTACTTGAGGAGGTATTTGTAGATAAAGGCATGCAGCTGTTAGTCGAGATGTCAAAGCTTTATTCTTTTCATTAGTACTACCATAAATAAAATGCGCTGAGTTTGTCTGCTGGTGTGGTACGTTTGACCACAACTTCGTATCTTCCTCTGATTTAGCGGCAAGGTATTAGAAAGGGTGAGTGGAAAAGGTGATGGAAGCATGTAAGAGTGATGGTGATGGAAGCGTAACAGTAAAAATCTGATCAGTAGTAATAGTAGGTAGTCAGTTCAACAACTGATGAATGGGGTAGTGGACATTGGTAGTATAGGTAATGATGTCGTGATTGAACGGTAGGTAAGATTCGGTTTTTGCTGCCCTTCCTTCTGCTACTTGCAGCCATACTGCAACCACTATAGCTCAGCAGCGCAGTAAACAAACCTCAATTCGTTTCGCGCGCCGCTACCACCTCAAAACGGGATTGACTTTCAGTGTTCATAAGACTCTGGAATGAAAAGTGAGGCGTAATAAAGAGAGTAGACCGCCAAAAAAAGAAAACACGCGGACATGCTCGACCCCTCCTCCGATAAACCATCTAGGACTGTCTCATGACCGTTGACTGGTTCACCTCGTACACCGAAGAACACCGCTGTGCTATACAGCAGTGCAAAACTCACCACGCCTGTCAAGCTCAAAGGCTGAAGTTTTTGCTGTTGATGAAGTAGATGAAGCGGAATGCGGCATGTATTCCGTTTTGTTTTGAAACGCAGTGGCTTTTGAATGCGATGTAGGCTGCGGTTTGCCGGTACTAGTCAGTGCCAAACGAGTGTTTTTTCCTTCCAGACAATTCGGCACCAATTATCTCGTCGCGGAATCATAGCAAGCAACAGTAGCGGAAAAAGAGAAAGCTTGGAACAAGCCACTAACTAGAATTCTCAACAGTTCAACCCCTTTATTTTCGTTTATCTCACCACTATCTCAGTATCAGGTAATTCAATGCAGCAACATTGCGGAGGTGGTCCAAATGCAAATGGGGCCTTTTGCCGAGCGCGCGCCATGGGGGAGGATCCCGGATAAGGTCGAGCCCAAGCAGACCAAGGTTTCTGTGATGGAATCAGCTTGCTTCCAGCTAATGGGCAGCTGGTCACTGGAATATAGCGCCTCTCAGATTGCGTACTGACAGTGGGTAGCTCTCAGATTGAGTATCGCGAATTATTCTCAGAGGCGAACGAGAAGAAGTGTGCCACGTTGCCGCCTGCAGTGCTCTCCCCCCCCCCGATCGGGATGGGCTCATCGATATGACCACCGCCAATGGTTGAACTCCACTATGTTGGTAAAGCGACGTACTTCATGGTAAGCTCCGCCCACAGTAAGTGGGGCGTCGGAAATCAGCGGTCTCACTGGAAAAAAATTCAATAATTTCAGCTACAGAGCAGCTCCGAGATGGGGGAAGAGTATTAGGTTGATAAGAAAGTGATGACCCATTTAAAAAATTTTCTGCTTTATTTTAGTACTCAGCATACAATGCAAGCTACTCAACAATATAATCACCATTATTAGTGACAACAGTCTCCCACTTAATGGGCAGGTCAGCGATCCCCTTCTCCCAGAACTGAGGAGACTGGGAGTCGAAGAAGTCACTCACCGCCCGTTTCACATCATCAACTTTGGTGAATTGTTTCTTAGCTAGAAAAGCCTATAGGGGACGTATAAGTGATATTTTGAACTATTGCGAAATAGTTGCTACAGTGTGCCAGGGATCACATGGTGACCCAGTGCACCATGGGACCACGCTATTTCGCAAGGGCGTGGTCCTGGGTCAGATGGCATGTGATCCCTGGTAGCCTGGGATGGTCATTCCAGGCTATTGCGTTGACCGTGAGCGGTGTGCCCACCCGCCCGCCCCTTTTTTCGCTGAAAATTCAATTTCTCTTTGCAGCCCGTCGTTTCAACGAAGCGGCTTCTCTGGGGGTGAGAGCAGAACAATTGGGAATGCCTCATATCAGCGAAGCCATAATAAATGCGTCAATCGGTTCGGACAGAGCTCCTTCTACGATCAAAGCCTACACGTCTGAAGTGGAGAGATTCAAAATCTGGAAAAACAGCCCTTACATGCGCAGCATCCCTATGCCACAGGCCAGGAATCTTTTCCTGGCGAAATGCTCGGCGGAAGGCAGGCTAAGTTCCATGCCGACCGTCGTAGCAGCGCTCAACTACTTCTGTGGCCCGCTCACAGGTGTAGACAAAGAAATCCAGGACTCCCTTCTTCAGGCGGTTAAGCGCCAGTCACCCCCGCGTCAGCATCGTACTAAGATTCAGCCCAGTCACATGGCACGGTTATTAAGCGTAGGTATCTCTACCAAGGACCCCAAAGTTACTCAAGCCGCTGCTCTAGCTCTCATTCAGTTCAAAGGATCAGCGAGGCCCAAAATTTGCGCATATCCCAGGTTAAGCCCAATGGCAACGGGGAATGGGTTGTGCATATAAGCAGATCCAAGACGGACCAGTGCTCTAAGGGGGCAGTGGTAGCTTTTCGCTTCAATGCAATGGAGGAAGCGCTCTGGAATAAATACACTGCTACCTTGGGTGGGGCGTCTTTTCTCTTTCAGTCCGGCTCCACGGGATTGCCTTTGGCCATCTCAACCTTGCGGGACAGGCTCATGCTCCTCATTAGTAAAGCCAATCTTAAACATGCTAATATAACATCTCACTCTTTCAGAGGGGGGGCTGCCACACAAGCGCTCAATATGGGAGCTCATCAAATTGATGTTATGCAAGCTGGGCGCTGGAGGACGCTGGGAGGGTTCCAGAATTACATAGCACCCAAACCTCTCCCATCTTCTCTTCCTCCCTCTATTTAACTATTATGATCACTATGTATGTTCCTAGTTCCTTCATACCGCTGTTCATTATGCCTAACACTATAACTAGGACACCTCGTATGTTGTTAACATCATATTTGTCATTTACGCAAGGCTGCTCATCTAGCATCACCTTTCTGCCCATCCTCTCATTGCCAACTTCATAAACCACCTATATATGCTATTCGTACATTGCTCCATATCGTTATGTGAAAGCATTTCACGACATTTTTAAGCGCACGACTTTCCTAATGTGATCTCATTATTGACACCATCACTTTGTACCAATGTTCATTAATATTATAAGTGGTAATATGCTACATAATAATTACATCACTATGTAGGCATTAATTCCTCGTGAAAATAGGCTCAATTGTCATAATAGTCATGCTGACAATGACTACTTCCTATTGATGTCAAACATGTAAGATGTACATAATCTATTCATATGTATCAACTATGTAATACCGCTCACATACGGAACACGCAATAAGACCTTGTGTTTGAACAATAGTTCAAAATGGTATTATAACAGAGAGTATATCGGAAGGTATAAGTGGTAAATTTGAATGAAGCTAAGGTCCAGGGAGATAGGGCGGGCTGAGGGACACGTTTTCCCAGCCCAGCTCCTTCCAGTTTTTCCCGGGTCTCCTTTGCTATGTGGGGTCGGGCGTTGTCGTGCAGAAGGTGGACCGAGGCCCGTCTCGGCCGTTTTTCGCGAAGAGCTTCGGCGAGTTTGCCGAGTTGGCGTGCGTAGATGGGCCCGGTGACCGTCTGGCCTTGCGATAGCATCTCGTAGTACAGCATACCGCGCGCGTCCCAGAAGCAGCAAAGCAGACACTTCTGCGGGTGGAGATCGGATTTTGCTTGCGTAGGCGGCGATTCTCCTTGTGGGAGCCAGAACGCGCGTGCTTATTGGCGTTGTAGAGGATCCAACTCTCGTCTCCAGTAACCAAGTCGGCGAGAAACTCCTTGCGCTGGGGGCGGAGGAGTAGTGACTGACGGATGGCAACCCGAGTCAAGTTCTCGGGTTGCCATCTGCCAGTCACTACTCCTCCGCCCCAGCGCAAGGAGTTTCTCGCCGACTTGGTTACTGGAGACGAGAGTTGGATCCTCTACAACGCCAATAAGCACCGCGCGTTCTGGCTCCCGCAAGGAGAATCGCCGCCTACGCAAGCAAAATCCGATCTCCACCCGCAGAAGTGTCTGCTTTGCTGCTTCTGGGACGCGCGCGGTATGCTGTACTACGAGATGCTATCGCAAGGCCAGACGGTCACCGGGCCCATCTACGCACGCCAACTCGGCAAACTCGCCGAAGCTCTTCGCGAAAAACAGCCGAGACGGGGCCTCCGGTCCACCTGCACGACAACGCCCGACCCCACATAGCAAAGGAGACCCGGGAAAAACTGGAGGAGCTGGGCTGGGAAACTGTCCCTCACCCGCCCTATTCCCCTGACCTAGCTCCTTCAGATTACCACTTGTTCCGTCCCCTTAAGGCTTTTCTAGCTAAGAAACAATTCACCAAAGTTGATGATGTGAAACGGGCGGTGAGTGACTTCTTCGACTCCCAGTCTCCTCAGTTCTGGGAGAAGGGGATCGCTGACCTGCCCATTAAGTGGGAGACTGTTGTCACTAATAATGGTGATTATATTGTTGAGTAGCTTGCATTGTATGCTGAGTACTAAAATAAAGCAGAAAATTTTTTTAAATGGGTCATCACTTTCTTATCAACCTAATACTCTTCCCCCATCTCGGAGCTGCTCTGTAGCTGAATTATGAATTTTTTTCAGTGAGACCGCTGATTTCCGACGCCCCACTTACTGTGGGCGGAGCTTACCATGAGTTACGGTTGCTCTTTACATCTTGTCACATGCCCTACCCATCCCGACCTTGACCCCACCTCTCCAAGTTGTTCTTCTGGTAGAACCGAATTTCCGGACAAACAAACAAAACAAAACAAACAAGCAGACGAGGCAAATTGTATGTAGGCATGATATTCCTAACTTCTGACCCTAACACAGGTGTGTGTAAGAAGAGAATAGATAGCTTAACACAGATGAAAATGCCTTATCAAAGCTTCTTCCGAACTTCTTTTTCACGACTGTATGTGCAGGTGTGCGTATGTGTAGCCAACAAGACAGTACATAGGCCACGAGGCAGTACATATGGCCATCGAGGCACTTGGGAAGCTACAGAAATGATTGTGAGTCGTTATTACCATGCTTCTTGTTTGATCCTTCTAATTCCCTGTTGCAGCTATCACAGTATGCGTCGCGGATTTAGTCATATGAGCGATTGATTGTGGTGGCTAGGAACCCACTTCAAAACCAAGAGTTCAAGTCTCTGGGGCCGAAGTTAAGGCAGGAGATTCGTGGAATCAAAGAAGTGCTCACGGGTGCTCTTCACCTTTTCTACTTCCTTGGTGTTCTTGGGAAGTCCTTGAGCTGCTCGCTTCCTCCTGCTCAACTCAACTCTTTCGCTAAGTCGTTATGTTGGTTTTCGGACCCAAATACACCTACCTAGGTCATTCTGGGATGTACTTTGCATCGAAAGAGAATGGGTCATCAGAAACCAGTCTATTCTGTATGAACGTCTCCCTCAGGCTCAACTGCGAACCGATTACTTCATGCACAATCGAAATCGGCCAGCATTCGCTCTGCTTGCTCCATGTTCGGTGTTGTCAGAACGATGTTGTCAGCAAAGCGGTAATAATGTAGTTGCCTGCCCTCACTTCCCATTCCAGATGACGTACGGCGATTTCGAGAGAAGCGCATT